ATATATATATATATATATATTATATATATATATATAACGAAATTTTGTAATTTTTTTGATAATCTGACATTATATTAACATCAATGCGTTCAATTAAACAAACAACAAAAATTCCACTCGACATGAACTTTAATCGTGTGAATTTTCTGTATTAATGTTTTATATTTATGTATTTTCATTCTTTAAATTCTTTTCATTAAAATGCTATTTCTACCGACCAAACAATGTATTTTTTTATTGCGATTTTTATTATCACACGAAAGATGACTTAAAGTCGAAACAATGTTTATATATTTTTTTTTATTATTTTTATTATTTTTTATTATTTTTTTATTATAATACTATACTTAACGATAAGATCCTATTTAGTTTTTATGTTCTTCAATACAAATATTTATTTTGATCGAAATCGTTTTATATTTATAAATTGTAAATCTTTAATTATAATAGTAAACTTAATCTTAATTTTAATAATGAACTTTAATATTTATATTAATCACATTAGATGGAATTGTCAAAATAGACTACACTATGATATCTGCTTACAATACGAAGTCATATGCTTACGCATTGAAATAGCAATGACCAATCAGCAGTATGAAAAAAATCATGACAAATTTGAGAGAGAAGCGAAAATACTGATTTAACACATTTTTTTAAAGAGTGAATATGATAAAAAGACTTATTTATATTTAAATTATACTTTTATTAAAATATAAAAGGAAATTTATATCCTAGCGAGAAAGAAAAAGATTAATAACAAAAGTATCTTTCCTAATCCAATTTTTGTAATTATAATTTTTTAAAGCATAATAACCAATTGATATTTGAATACAGTAGTATATAAATCCATATGTATGAATCGTTCACAAACTAAATAATCCAGAATATGTAATTTAATATGTATTTACTAAAAATTCTTCATTTTAAATTTTCAATTTTATAAACTAATTTTATTATTTCAGGTTTCTAATAATTGAATTATACCTGCACTGAGATTTCGATCGATTCCTAGTGGATATCCTGCGGCTACTATAGTATGAATTTCTAACTCTTCGTTCGTTCCCATCTTTCTTTTTATTATCTCTTATTGAACTATTTTGCCATCTGGAACATATAAAAATCTTTAGATATAATATAAACACGTTTATTTATTTAAAATTTAAATAAAATAAAAAACTTATTAAAACTCTTTTAAGCTTCTGATAACTTTTTATTACTAATGGATTTTCCACAAATTTCTTTAAAAACAAATTAGTTAAGAAGTTACGAAGAATTAGTTAAGAAGAAAAGTATAATCAAATTTCATGTAAATTTATTCTCAAAATTTAAGATTTATTATTCGTAATTGTTATTGTATTATTTATTATATTATTCATATATAAATTGACCAACCTGTTGTGCTTTTGTCTATCATCATTATCCGTTTGATAAATTCGATGTCTGGTTGGCACATGCAATCTAAAATCACTACATTAATCTATGTTATTAATAGTATAAATATAAATATTAATACTGCAATATATTAACAATATAATTATAAATATTATTATTACAATTTCGCTGTTTAAAGATTTAATAATGCAATTACCAAACCATAAATAATTCAATCAAATTTATATAAAAATTTTCAATCGGATTTATATTAATGATATGCACATTTAGATTTAAAAAGACAAAAAATAATAGAATTAATGGATATATCAAATGCTTCATTATTCAATACAATTAAAAATAAAGTGTTTAAAAATAAATATGGTAGTATGGAGAATTTTTAACAATAAACAAGATAATTTCAATATAAAATAAAGAGAAATGTATTTTTATTAATAAAAAGAGTTTTATATATATATATATATATATATATATATAGA